GACTGCTTACCAATAGGCTCCTTTCAGATGGGTTTTTTCAGTGGAATATTATCTCCCAAAGAAATGTAGTATGTAGTCCGAGTCAGAGTTTCTTTTAGATATTTTTTTTCGGTGGGAGTTGGGATTGGAGGGGGGAGGGGGTAAACTTTTGGTGGATGGGGAAGAGCTGGTTAAAGCATACATTTTCTTTATAAATTATATTTTTCTCTTTTTGTCTGACTGCCCTCCACCTTTCTCTACCTTTTCCTAAGAAATGCCTATCAACAACTCTGTTTGGAATCAACAGGCGATAAGGCGCATAATTTGATAGGATGCAAGCAATACTCAGTTATGTTGTAGGAGATGCAATAATGTTCGATTCAGTTAAGTTGTTAGGGATTTCATCGAATTATAAAGAATAAAAAACGTTTTAAGTTATCTTTAGCAGGGACTAAATTTGGTTGAGGCAGGGAATGAACATGGTTCCAGTTTGTTTTTATATCCAAATTTTATAGATGTAGAGTTTGCTCTAGGCAAAAGTGTAAACATACGCCACTCTCAAATAAGAAATTATTATAATGCGAAATTATAGACCTTGTTTTGTTTTTTTTAATCGTATTTTCAGGCTGTGTATACATCTACCGTATTTATGACGAAGTGAGTTACGACCCTTTAAACAATGATCACTACTGTCACAAGACTTTGTATTTGTTTGCCTTTTGGATGATGAATGCTACTTTCATCATCGCGGGATTGTCCTGTTGCTGTGCAATGTGTGTTGCGTGTGTAGCAGTTGTGTTCGAATAACTGGGTTGAACATTTACCTTGTTGGGGTTTTTTTTTTTAAATCTGAACAAACACTAAAGAAATCATTTAACTTCAAAAAATTGATATTTTCAGGACATATACTTTATAACCAAAATTTTCAAGTCGATTTTCTTCTGGAATTTAAAATGTATTAAACTAAATAAAACAATTAACATGCACAATATACTGAGAGAATCTGTACTAAATATTTTATTTTAAAGTTGTATAAACCTAAATTGATAAAATTTTCAACATGCTGGGCGTATTTTTACTTTTCCCTCCTTCATGTTTGAGTAAAAGGCGGGGGGGGGGGGGGGGGGGAGAGAATGGGACTCTGACTATTTGAATATTTAATTTCGACAAAAACTTAATAGATGCAAAGTCTGGTCCATTCATTTTTAAACTTTTAGGTTAATTTCAAATAGTTTCAATCAAGATTATATAAAATTGTATAAGTCAAGTTTTTAAAAAAATATTTTTTACACTTTAAAATTCAGCAAATTGTCATTTCAGAAGTCATACTAATTAGTTAAGGAGGTATTTTTAAAGTTTATTTTTATATATAATATGCATATTGTTTCGTTTATTCATTCGCTTATTTAATTCACATAAAAGTTTTTATTTCTCTGTTGCTGCTATTCTATATATATTTTTTTTCACCCCGACATGTAATCTACAGCGTCGGTTTGCCTTGAATGTTCGTTTTAGTCAGTGGCGTCTCTAGGTCGATTTGCACTTAAAAGACTAAATAAATTTAATTAATTACCAATTGAACTGGCAAAAAAAAAGCATTTTTCTTCTGTAAATTTTACAATTTCTTGTCATTGTGTCACCCCATAAATGGTGTCACCCGGATCGGCCCGCACCCCCCCCCCCCCGCCCCGCCCTCGCTACGCCTCTGGCTTTAGTATTAAAGTTTTCTTCATCGGCTTGTGAGCACTGATACAGATTAACAATACTAATACTTTTTCTTACATGTAGCCTACTTTCATTTATTTAAGATTGTTTACTTATACATAGATCTAATACAAAACGTCTAATTACAATTTTATTTTTTAAAAACACCTGAAAATGCAAATGTGTAATCAAATGATGATTTAAGGGATTGATCTTCATAGCTTTTTTCTCAGTTTCTATTGAAACCATTTATCATTTTAAGTTTTGTTAAACAAGAATTTTTTAAAAATAATTTTTTTAATGCATTTATTGTTTCCCATGTTAACTGCCTTCTAAAATAATAATTTATCAAATGATACAATTTTGTTCACTGTGGTTTTTTTTAATGCATTGAACTACACCAATTAAAATTCAACGTTTTAGCTTCGTTCATATTACTAAATAAAGTGGAAGTGATCTTCAGTAAACTTTCTCGTATCTATCTATATATATAATTCTCTTCATAGGGGGGGGGGGAACCATGCGGGACACCACTTCGTATCTAGGCATATAGCTACCACCCCATCTCACCAGGCTGGTGAGATGTGTTTTACGCCACGTGCTTACAATCGTAGAGCCAGGTCGAACTTGTGACTGCTATAGGGCTGGTAAGTAGGCCACCAACCCGTTTTACGGCTCATGCTGGATTTATTGAGCCGTAGAACTGGTTGGTGACCTACTTACCAGCCCTATTAGGGGCAGATAATTTAGTTTTTAAACGATTTGAAACTAAGGGGAGGTATTAACAAGTTTTGCTAGATCTTTTCATTGCCGTCCGTAAACTGTCGTCACGGACGGCTGCTTTAACTAGGGTGGGGGGGGGGGGGGGAGGGGGAGGATAATACCCCTTCACGAGCTACTGATATAATATAAAATATTTTCAGTTGCAGCATGTAGTGTCTATTTCACAAATTATGAATTACTAAAAAGTAGAAAATAAAACAACAAAATAGCGGCGTATGCGTACGGCGCGGGTCAGCTTGTATTCTTATATAACAGTAAGGGGGATGTAAATTTGACGTTTTATAACTTTCCAGAGCTGGAAAAACTTAGTTTTTCAATATTGTCCGTCTGTGTCTGTAAACACGGAAATTTGAGTACCACTATAGTCATGTTACACACATCTATAATATAATCTGGCTGGTAGTGTGTCAGTCCTTCCACCCGTCATCGCTTTAGATTTTGGAACCATAAACGTAAACACATCACATGTCGTGATGTTATATTTAAAAAAGATTTACCGTGGCGGAGCACGGGTATGCAGCTAGTTTCATATATATTAGTACTGTATCAAATATGTAGTTCTCTATCAATTTTAGAGCAATTTCCGGTAACCAGAAGTGAACGTACTCTGACTCAGGTCTCTCAAAAGTTGATAACTTGATTACCATTTAAGCTAAGCATTAGATTGTATAAGAAAGTTCCTCTTAATTTTTGTACGATTTTCGGTACCCGGAATAGACAGACAGACAGACAGACAGACAGACAGACAGACAGACAGACAGACAGACAGACAGACAGACAGACAGACAGACAGACAGACAGACAGACAGACAGACAGACAGACAGACAGACAGACAGACAGACAGACAGACAGACAGACAGACAGACAGACAGACAGACAGACAGACAGACAGACAGACAGACAGACAGACAGACAGACAGACAGACAGACAGACAGACAGACAGACAGACAGACAGACAGACAGACAGACAGACAGACAGACAGACAGACAGACAGACAGACAGACAGACAGACAGACAGACAGACAGACAGACAGACAGACAGACAGACAGACAGACAGACAGACAGACAGACAGACAGACAGACAGACAGACAGACAGACAGACAGACAGACAGACAGACAGACAGACAGACAGGCAGGCAGGCAGGCAGGCAGGCAGGCAGGCAGACAGACAGACAGACAGACAGACAGACAGACAGACAGGCAGGCAGGCAGGCAGGCAGGCAGACAGACGGACGGACGGACGGACGGACGGACGGACAGACAGACAGACAGACAGACAGACAGACAGACAGACAGACAGACAGACAGACAGACAGACAGACAGACAGACAGACAGACAGACAGACAGACAGACAGACAGACAGACAGACAGACAGACAGACAGACAGACAGACAGACAGACAGACAGACAGACAGACAGACAGACAGACAGACAGACAGACAGACAGACAGACAGACAGGCAGGCAGGCAGGCAGGCAGGCAGGCAGGCAGACAGACAGACAGACAGACAGACAGACAGACAGACAGGCAGGCAGGCAGGCAGGCAGGCAGACGGACGGACGGACGGACGGACGGACGGACAGACAGACAGACAGACAGACAGACAGACAGACAGACAGACAGACAGACAGACAGACAGACAGACAGACAGACAGACAGACAGACAGACAGACAGACAGACAGACAGACAGACAGACAGACAGACAGACAGACAGACAGACGGATAGACGGATAGACAGATAGATGGATAGACGGATAGACGGACAGACAGACAAAGAATCGATTGAAAAACTCTTTTTCCTCACTTGGTATAAAACATCGAGATCTGTCAAAATCTCGATTTAGATTTTCTGTTCGATTACAATATTCCCCTTATGGGCCGTATGCGAGAAGGTAAGAAGCCATAATATATTTCTAGCACTAACTTGTGGTACTTTTAAAATCTCTTTTTTATAATGTTATAAAAATATCCCACCTGCACCCATTAAATACCAAATAATATAGACATGATAATCAATAATACCAAAACCTAAATTAAAATCTTAATAACTTAATAAATAAGCGTACAACAGAAAATAAACTGATCCGATATGCGACTTGTTTTACTATTCAAGGGACACTACTCTAGTAATATATAAAAATCTGAAACAGAGTTAGTTCCCCTCGTTATAATACACTACTACTTTTGTTTAGTCATTTCGACCCGATTATACAGCATATATATTTATGAAAGCTTTTGTAAGTCCTAGAGATTATGCCAATACAATATTCACAGCCTAAAAACTATCAAAGAGTTTCTGAACATCATCGGGCATATCCTCAAGCTCCTTTCCTTTGCAGATAAGAGCATACCCCAGTCGTTATGTAAAATCTGAGGCTAATTTCGAAGCTTATCCCAACACTTCTGTAAAGCTTACAAGGACTAGGCTACGTTTAAAAACAAATTTACAATGTAATGTATCCTATTGTCTTATAAATTTAAATCTATGAGCTAAACGTCATCAAAGGATGTGAAATTCATCACTGTGTTTAGATAGTATGATGGCGGTATAAAGTTAACACACAAATAGATCTAGTAACAGCGATATTTTAAATTTAATATGCATCAGATTAAAACATGCAAAATAGATGGTGGTAACATGGAGGAGGAGCAGGTAGGTAGTTATTGTTATTTAAAATTAGATCTAATACTGATTGACTTCAGATCGTAGTTTACTCATTCTAGATCTAGATCTAGATCTATTCTTGTGATAGACTTGATAATTATTGTAATTATCCTTGACTTTGATATATATATATATATATATATATATATATATATATATATATATATATATATATATATATATATATATATATATATATATATTTATATATATATATATATTTATATATATATATATATATATATATATATGTATTTATGTATATATATATGTATATATATAGGCCTATATATAGGCCTATATATATATATGTATATATATATATATATATATATATATACTCTCGACCGAATGTGAGAGCTTCTAAGCACATTGAGAATCTCCCCTATCGTTCACCGAAATAAGCACAACCAATATATTCTGGATAAATTTTATATTTTTGCTTTTTTTATCGGGATGTGGGGGTGCGGTGGGGTGAGTTGGGGGAAGCAGTAACACTCCGATGAGAGAACTGAAAGAAACTTTGAATACATGTTTGGCTATTTAATCTTCTAGCTTTGAAGATAAGCGTATCTACATTGATAGCTCAATTAAATTAGATAAAAAGTACTCTTTCAAACCTGACGGGGCAGGTAAAGTAGAGTTAGCCTGTTTCTGCGAAATCGGCATACGAAGAGAAAGTGTGGTCAACACTATGCCCAAAAACATTTACCTTCCCCTAATGTGAGTTAGGTACCCATGTGACCTCAGGGACGTTATACACACTTGAACCCGGATTCGAACTCGAGAAGATATTAAAAATAAATTAATTAAAAATAACTTTATAAACTGCTATATTCACCAATAACAGGGGAGATAACACTTGATCAGCCAGGTGATCTGGTAATCATGGGTTTTGTTTACATATTTGAGAGCAGAAAACGGAACCGGTAATACGGTGACAGGACAAATGATCTCAGGACAAAATATCTTAGAAAAAATATCTCATGGACAAATTACCTCGGGACAAAATATCCCAGACGAAATATCTCACGGACAAATGATCTCAGGACAAATGATCTCAGGACAAAATATCCCAGACAAAATATCTAACGGACAAATGACCTCAGGACAAAATATCCCAGACAAAATATCTCATGGACAAATGATCTCAGGACAAATGATCTCAGGACAAATGATCTCAGGACAAAATATCCCAGACAAAATATCTCACGGACAAAAGAACTCAGGACAAAATATATCAGCACAAATGATATTTTGTCTGAGATCATTTATCATGAGATCATTTGTCATGGAACTGATAATATTGGTGTGTAGTGGATTGTATCAGTCGGCCTAAATATTAGTGATACTAAGTTTCTAAAGCAAATTCTTTTTGTCATGAGAGTTGTGGCGTCTACAAAGTTCGGCCTTGAGAGATGAAAAAGCAGTACTAATTGTTTCTAAAACGTTAAATTAAGTATAGTCTATAGTGAAAGTCTAAATTTCAGTAAAAACAGTTTCAGTCCACCATTACTAAAAAAAAAATGGCACTATAGCTTGGCACGCCAGTTTGACGACATTCGTTATTTAATTTAACGATCTTTGCCTTAGTATACTAAAATCTACAACAGTTCATCGAATAATAAAAAATCAAAAAAAGCTACCAATGTTTTGGTTTTGTTGCTATGTTGCATGGAAAACTTATGTTACAATGTTCCCATCCAGTCCACAGAGAGTGTTTGGCCCCAGCTGCCGTTTCAAATCCTAATTGACATCGTTAAGAACCTGAGCAACCGGGACAAGTTTAACGCTGCCCTGACGTGTAAGGCGTGGGTTCCACTCCTAGACATACCTGCCTTGTTTACCACGGGGCATTTCCTGTTCCCGTTGGGTGACGTCAAGAGTGCGCTGACGTTTGCAAGGGCACGAGGAAAATGGCTACGTCACGTCTACGCTGATTGTTCAGGTAGCTGTCTAGATGTGAATACAAGATAAATAAACCGGAAGTGATCTCCCATAAACTTTCTCGAATATTCATATATAACATTAAGAGAGATGGCAACTCGGGATATAGACATGATTTTTAAAAACTTTTTAAACTAGAATAGAATCTCGTAGAAAAAAGAATCGCGCACCAAGTGAACGCCAAAAAAATGTGTATAATAGTGCGGAATATTATTAGCACTTGATAAATTCACATGCGTTTTTTGAGAAATCGGAAATAGCTTAAATTACTACTTCCGGTCGACGGAAATTACTCAAAATTTAAAATAAGGTGGAGAATTAGATCTTTTACTTACGTGTGAAAGTTCATTTATCTATCTGAAACAGTACTCAAGTTATAGGCTTTTGAAAAATTGAAAGTAGAATAAGTTCCACTTCCGGTTATCGGAATCGCTCAAAAGTCGACACAAAACTTCAAATTTGATATAATAGTTATATATGAAATTAAATAAACCTAGCTGTCACGGTACTCATCTTATTGTGTTCACACACGCACACACACACACACACAGACAAAACGACAAATATGCAAAACTATGGGTTTTTTTCGACTCAGAGATGCGTAAAACGTCGAGATATGTGAAAATCTCGTTTTTTTCGTTCACGATTACAATACTTCCTCTATAAACCGTATACGAGAAAGTAAAAATATTTAAGAAAGTTTAGGGGAGATCACTCCCGCTTTATTTTCTTAATTACAGAGTTAGCCTATGGCAACGAGGATTCATCAGTTATTGATGCAATGTACCAGTTGGTGGCCAGTCTTCTTCACAGTGGGAACAAAAAACTAGAAAGAATTAGCTTTAAGGACCTGACGCTTTTGAATAAATGGTACGGTGGAAAAAGAAGAACCCTGGCAGACTTCTTAAAAATTATATCGACACTGATCGAAACACAGCAGAATCTAAAGGAACTGGATCTCACTAATGCTGGATTAGACGCTGATGAAGGTCAGTAGTTCTGTCTTAACATTTGACCAATGTCGGTTTGGACAAGGCAAGAGTAATATAAGTACGTCATATATGTATTGTACTGTTAGTATACACTGTTAAACAAACAAGGGAATAACTTAGAAAAAAAGTTGTTTTTTTTTTAAATTGAAATAGGCTCCAATCAATAACAAACAATTTTAACATTTGAACACCTATCCAGGAGGTCATCTGTTGAGAGAGGTCAGCAGAACCTGCGCTAAAAATCTACACAGACTGGCAATCGACAGGTTTATAAAATTCGATAACCTATCGAATTTAACCCCATTTCATTCTGCTCTCTACAGTTTTGAAAGTTTGAAAGGTACGTTTCATTTATTCAGTTTCTTGAAATAATTGCGTGCAAATGATGTGCACACATTTTAACAAGAAACCTTATTTTGTTTGATTTTCTTTCAACAAATTTACCGTTTATCGATAGACGGACAATACTTTTTTTACTTTCTCGTATATACGAAAAATAGAGAAAGTCTTATAATCGTGACAAAAAATCGAATTTTTTGCAAATCTTGACGTGTGCAAAACGTGTGCAGATGCACACATTGGTCCCTGAATATTGACTGGTAGAACTCGTTGAGCCAGGCGTTAGAAACAGAGGCGTAGCGACCCTTCCTGGCGCCCGGGGACAAACTTTTCGATTTGCACCCCACCCCCCCCCCCCCTCAAACTTTCGATTTGCATCCCCCCCCCAAGATTTCGATTTGCACACCCCCCCCCCCCCCCAGTCAAACTTTCAATTTGCACCCCCTCAACCTTTCAATTTATTTTTCCAACCCAATTTGGCGCCCCCTAAGGTCGGCGCCCGGGGACATATGCCCCCACTCGCTACGCTACTGGTTAGAAATATTATAAAACCCCGTAATATTTGGTTCAATATAAAATTCAAGAACATTTAGCGCTACTTCTACCGAAAAAAAACCTGCCTGTGCACTCGAATTCTTAAGATTTTTTTAGTAGAGCGCAACACACTAAAAATTAAAGTAAGCATTTGTGTCTTTCAGAGCTAGAGATCAGTTATGATTTTTTGAGCAACAAATTTTTGAACGATCTGACTAAATCGTCCAAGAGCAGTTTGCGCTTGCAAGTGTTAAAAATGCGGGCCATATATACAGCTGACGCCCATCGTAACACCAGCCCTCACGTTTGGCGGAAGCTCAAAGCGTCATTTCCTGATCTCAAAGTATTTTTTTTTCTCAAACCGGAAAGTCTATCAACGGTAATACAAGAATGCTAAGAGACAATTTTTAACGTTTCCAAATTATGCATAAATAGTTTACTAATTATAAAACAGATCGAATAAAAAAAAACACGCCACTGCTTTTTAATTTAGATAAAAGTAACCACACCTTTAAAACAAATTAACTTTTTTTAAATTTTTTTAGCATTTTCTGAATGTCTATATCGTGTTTACTTCAAGGTCATAGACCTATCTAGTAAGATTGCATTTTATCCAGGAGTCCTATTACGACGAATTACCTCTAGCTATTTTAACCCCATGTATGCCCCTGCACGGGATGCATTGGAACTGTGGCAGCATAATATCCATTGGGAACATCATCCAAGGCTTGAAGTATGTCGCTGCTAAATTTAAGGTTAGTCATTTCAGAGGGTATCGGGGAGATATAAAAAGATATATAAATTGCGCGCGCTTTTTGTTATAAGATTTGGTTGAAAGACCTATGGTTATCCTTACAAAATACATTTGATATAAATCATAAAACAAATCTTTGAGCACATTTTTTTTACATATTTTTCGCTTTCAGTAAAAAAAAAAACAATCGTAAAATGTAAATCTTTTTTCTTAAATTCTGATGAAAATTGATTAATCACTGACACTATAGCTTGACACGTCAGAACAGCTAACTTACTGACACGTCAGAACACCTAACTTACTGACACGTCAGTACACCTAACTTACTGACACGTCATAACACCTAACTTACTGACACGTCAGAACACCTAACTTACTAACACGTCAGAACACCTAACTTACTGACACGTCAGAACACCTGACTTACTGACACTATGGCTTGACACGTCAGTACACCTAACTTACTGACACGTCAGTACACCTAACTTACTGACACGTCAGTACACCTAACTTACTGACACGTCAGTACACCTAACTTACTGACACGTCAGTACACCTAACTTACTGACACGTCAGTACACCTAACTTACTGACACGTGAGTACACCTAACTTACTGACACGTGAGTACACCTAACTTACTGACACGTCAGAACACCCAACTTACTGACACGTCAGAACACCTGACTTTCTGACATTATGGCTTGACACGTCAGAACACCTAACTTACTGACACGTCAGTACACCTAACTTACTGACACGTCAGAACACCTAACTTACTGACACGTCAGAACACCTAACTTTCTTACACGTCAGTACACCTAACTTACTGACATTATGGCTTGACACGTCAGAACACCTAACTTACTGACACGTCAGTACACCTAACTTACTGACACGTCAGAACACCCAACTTACTGACACATCAGAACACCTAACTTACTGACACGTGAGTACACCTAACTTACTGACACGTCAGAACACCTAACTTACTGACACATCAGAACACCTAACTTACTGACACGTCAGAACACCTAACTTACTGACACATCAGAACACCTAACTTACTGACACGTCAGAACACCTAACTTACTGACACGTGAGTACACCTAACTTACTGACACGTCAGAACACCTGACTTTCTGACATTATGGCTTGACACGTCAGAACACCTAACTTACTGACACGTCAGAACACCTAACTTTCTTACACGTCAGTACACCTAACTTACTGACATTATGGCTTGACACGATACGACACCTACACAATTCCCATTACATTTTCACTTAACTTTTTTCCTTTGTGGCGCCTGAGGAGCAACAGTCTGTTTTATGTGCGGCCATGTTAGTCCAGCAGTCCTTGCCTCATCTTCCACAGTACTCATCAAGGATTTCTTTGACCAAACTAGTTTCCCCTTCCTCTACACAATTTTGGTTACATCTAATTTTCGTAAACGTTTTATTTTACAGAATTCTCTACATTGTATGGACTTGACATCAGAAGTTCGCCTAGGCAAGGAAGACATTGGTGAAATTTTCAAAAGGTGAATTTATTATCCTGAATATGTTTCATGGGTGCATATGCCGTGTACTGTTAGGTAGTTTTCTTTTGCAACTCTTATAGGTTTTACTTTGGTTACAATAGGGCTGGTAAGTAGGTCACCAACGAGTTCTACGACTCAATAAAACCTGCATGAGCCGTAGAACTGGTTGGTGACCTACTTACCAGCCCTATTGTTGGCGGTCTGCCGAGTGTGTGATCAGATTTTGTAACTCAATTCTGACCTACTTTCAACGACGCGATTTCGTTTAACCTTTCCAGATAATTTCATTTTCCAATTTACAACCAAATATCTACATTTTAACATCTAATCCTAATATATAAAACGCCATGTGCGCTCTTCTCTCTCTCTCTCTCTCTCTCTCTCTCTCTCTCTCTCTGTCCGCAAAATATTTTCGCCGGACATCACGTCAGAAACGGCAGCGATATATGGAGAACTTTATACGGACTTTTGTTGAAAATAATATGTTAGATGTTTTAAATGTATAACCACAATTTTATTTAAAGAAGAAAAATAAAAATTAAAGGCGTATTCGAATGTAGAGAAACAGTATTATTTATGCAACCGGAAAAGCATTAATATATGTGAAAAAGAACGCATAAAACTGTGACGTCACTATTGCTTATACATTAACTAATGACGTCATCTGCCGTGTTTAGAATAAAAAGAAATGAACTATTTCATTCAAATTTGATTTAGATCTACGTACACTATGAAATGTATACAATACAATTTTTCCGGCCTAAACTCATAAAATTTATTTTATGTATTTGGATTCTAGATCTAGATCTAGAGATTCTAGATCTAGACTAAATCTAAATCTAAATCTACGCAATAACTAGATCTAGCTAGACGTAGACGCTAAGATCTAGATTTAGACTCTAACTTCTCTAAAATCAATTCCAAAAATAAATTTCTATATTAGGACTAAACTATTTCAAGACTTATTTATTTTATTCAAAATCTTTGTTTGGAACTGGCTAATTTGGGATAAAAAAAATTAATTTGAAAGAATAGGCATATTCGCGTAAGTTAAGATTTTAAAATACGTGTTTCATTCTCCATATTTATATATAGCGAAGATGTTAGTGTACATTAAACCACGCAGGTGGTGCGGGTTCGAGACACACCAAGTCAACTTGGTTAATGTATTTTTTACTTTCTCGTATATACGTAGTATAGAGAAAGTCTTGTAATCGTGCAAAAAAAAATCGAGATTTTTACAAATCTCGACGTTTTACACCTCACTGATACGGAAAAACATAATTTTGCAATCTTGTCCGTATGTCTGTGTGTGTGTGTGTGTCTGTGTGTGTGTCCGTGTGTAAACACGATAACTTGAGTACCGTTACAGCTAGGTTGATGAAATTTCATATATAAGTATTATATCAAAATCGTAGATCCGTATCAACTTTTGAGTGATTTCCGATAACCGGAAGTGGTACTTTTTCTACTTTGAATTTTCAAACGCCTATAACTTGAGTACTATTTCAGATAGTTAAATGAAATTTCACATGTAAGTAAAGATCTAATTCTCTACCTTCTGTTAAATTTTGAGTAATTTCCGTTGACCGGAAGTAGTAATTTACGCTACTTCCGATTTCTCAAAAAACTAATGTAAATTTTAAAAGTACTAATAATATTGCGCACTATTATGCGCTTTTTTATTTCGCGTTCACTTGGTGTGCAATTAATTTGTCTACGAGATTTTATTCTATTTTTAAAACTTTAAGTATTTAAAATGGATTAAAAATCATGTCTATAGCCCGAGTTCCCATCCCCTGTTATTTTATATAAAAATATTCGAGAAAGTTTAGGGGAGATCACTCCCGGTTTATTTTTTATTATGCTCGGGCTAAACTTAAAAAAAAAATTCTTTTAGGAATCTAGATCTAGATCTAGATTGTCGGGTGTCCGATAGGGCACTTCCCGGCGCCGCAGGCGCTTCAAATTTGGCAGGATCTTGCCTTGGGGCAACAGAACACGGGGGCCGGTTGGCCGAAAAGTCTACGATGAGGGGGTCAAAACTGACCTCGACTGACCGGTGCCTTATATGAGCTATAAATCGAAAAAAAATGTCCACGGAGGAACCTCTTCATAACTCTTGAGGTCGTAGACCGACCCTCGGGCGAATTAATTAAGCATGCAAATTCTCAATGTTTTCGAAAGCCTAAGCGAAGCTGGGCAGCATGCCTAGTTAGATATATTAGTCATTAATAATAATCATTAAAAAAGTTTAAAAAAACCCACGTTTTCTGATTGAACTAAAAAGTAGAAAATAAATACTATACATCACAATAATGCAAGCGATCACTCTACTATAAGCGATGAAAAACGTGGGGCGCCGAAGTAAAAGTTATATTACTATTGATTAGATAATACTATTGACTTTTATTAGGGAGCTTGTAGAGAGTCAACAGTATTAGAAACTGTAAGAAAATCACGGCGCCCCACGTTTTTGATCGCTTATAGTAGAGTGATCGCTTGCATTATTGTGATGTATAGTATTTATTTTCTACTTTTTAGTTCAATCAGAAAACGTGGGTTTTTAAAAACTTTTTTAATGATTATTATTTTCTACTTTTTAGTCTTTGTCTGTTTGTTTGCATTGAAATCTTGCTATCGATTTTATCTTTTCACTTTTTTTTGGGTAAACGAAGACAACTCGTAAAAAGACAACTCGTAAAAAACGAGAGACCCTTTCTTCTTCGGTCTCAATCGCAAGTGAATGATTGTCAGAGGTTAGTTGAAAGCGGTTAGGACGAGGGCTGGTTACTTACTAGAACACATAGATTTGAACCCGTGTCGAGTGGGATAGCAATCGTGTGCCCAACCACTCGACCATATCGTCTCCCCCAAACTGGCCACCAGTGGTAATAGTTACCTCCTGTAAGTTTAAAGTCGGTTCAAACTAAATTATCTGCCCCTAAGCCTGTCGCGACGTGGGATCGTTCGCTTCACTGCGCGCGGCAAGAGAGAAGCGAGCTACGCGTCGCTCGTTTTTTTTTTTCTAATGGCTCGCAGAGGAGAATTATATATATAGATTATATAGCGGTCTAAAATGCTCAATAAAATGTTTCCATTGATCAATTTAGTAATAATAACAATTGAATATTCTATGGTCATCCAAAAGAAAGCTTCCCTGAAAATTTCAGCGCGCTAGCTAACTGGGAAGTGCCAGAAATTTCGATCGCAAGATTTGATTGGAAAAACAAACAAACAAACAAACAGAAAGCAAGTTAAAGAAAACGTGGGAAAATTAGTTTAAAGAACACAATGTTCAATAACAAAAAGGGGAGATAACAGGATTAAGCGAAAGCGTCGCACAATTGACAGCGTGACGACGGGGAACATAATTTGCAGAGGCGTAGCGACCCTTCCCGGCGACCGGGGACAAACTTTTCGATTGCCACCCCCCACCCTCGAGATTTCGATTTGCACCCCCCCCCCCCCCTCTAGATTTCCATTTGCACCCCCCCCCCCCCTCAAACTTCCGATTTGCACCCCCCTCAACCTTTCAATTTATTTTTCCAACCCATTTTGGCGCCCCCTAAGGTCGGCGCCCGGGGACATATGCCCCCCCCCCCCCCCGCCCCCCGCTACGCTACAGATAATTTGTAGTTGTTATCGGACTTCGGCCGGCCGCTGACGTTAGGGAGAGGTAGATAATAATTGTCTTTTAGATCACAAGCTACGCACCGGGTTTTAAAGTAAATTTAGGGCTGGTAAGTAGGTAACCAACCAGTTCTACGGCTCAATAAAACCTGCATGAGCCATATATTTGGTTGGTGACCTACTTACCAGCTCTATTCTCGAGAAGACATGAGTGCGCAAAAATTAAGTAGAGCCTACTAATTGTTTTTATAAACGTAATTATTGATCGATTATTTTATTAATCTAAACTTCAGAATACCTATGACTATAAAACAAGTATTATTTTCTATGCACTTAAAAGTTTGTTGTTATAAATATTTTATACTTGTTCTAAATCTACGTGAGTTCATACTAGGTAGAAAGAAAGTTTAACGATGTGATTGTTGCCACAGAATTTGTTATAAAGGTTAGCTTTTATTTAAATAGATAAAAATAATTTCATTATGCCACAAAGTCGTGTTGGCCTCTTCTCTTTGTACTAACCTAGAGATAGGCTATTGTGTATCAACCTAGAGATAAACTATTGTGTACTAACCTAGAGATAAACTATTGTGTACTAACCTAGAGATAAACTATTGTGTACTAACCTAGAGATAAACTATTGTGTATCATCCTAAAGATAGACTATTGTGTACCAACCTAGAGATAGGCTATTGTGTACCAACCTAGAGATAGACTATTGTGTACACCAACCTACTGTAAAGATAGATTCAAATGTGTACCATTACTAGAATGATCTATGGTAACTAGAAAGTTTTAGAAGTTTGTACATGTTTACAAATGACAGATGTAAATGATTAACAAATCCTTGAAATTGATACCCCATATTTAAAAAAAAAGACTTCTGTAACTATAATAAGATGGTGTATTACGTCTTCAGTATTAGGATAAACAAGCTACTTTCGGTATTATATGTTGTAATATGATTTTCGTTGTGCCCACAGTTTACAAGTGTGTTCACGTCTCGAGACCTTTGCTCTACGTCTGCCTTGTGATTTAAAAACAGACGAACGGGACTACAAACTAGCGCTTTCAGAGGTCAAGACCCAGCACAACGCGACCTATGTCGTTACCTTTAATGGTCAGAAAGTATAGGACATTGTAGGCCTACACGTTATTGATGTATGGTTTGTTGAAGCTTTGGATATTTGGTTGATTGCCTCACAGTGTAGACAATCACAGTATTTTAATACCCACATAACTGCAGAATACTATGTTGGTGTAGGTGTGCTTGTGAAAAGTATATTAAAGGATGGTGTCTTTTGTTGTGAATGAGAGATGTAATGTTAGTGAAGAGATTGGTAAAAATGAAAATTCTTAAAACAGCAACCTAAACATTAATCTATAAATTTTTTTAGATGAAACTTAGAGAGCACTAAAATTGTTTTGTATTAATTAAGCCACTGCTTTTTAGTTTAGATAAAAATAACCACACTTTTAACACAAATTAACATCGTGATGTTATTACATATATTTCCGTGAAAATTTAGATAGAATAAAAGGTTTTTTTTCTTCTCACATTTTCGACGAATTACCGTAATTATACCTCCTCGAACATTACTTATACAAAATGCGGAGAGGGTGTAATGAAACTTACAGTAAACTATATATCAAAAGTTTATAGCTTTTCAAAATAAATGAAATTTTATAATATGGAAAAATGTGTCTTGTTATTCCCTAAATATTTGATTTAAAATTACATTTTTGTTTTGCGTTTAGAAAATTATAATACGATCACAGTTTTTTTACTTTCTTGTATACGAAATATAAGGGAAGTGTTGTAATCATAGCTTGGGCGCCAACTATTTTGGTAGTAATTAACATAACTTTTAAACAGATTCCTTTGGTCTTCTTGTCTAAAAACGAAACAAGAGAACAGCACATGTACAATAACTTTCTCAAGGAAATAAAACTCGAACAGAAAATCTCGGGAACGAGAGTTAATAATTTATGTTTCCTGAGATTGGTTTCAATGACAACTTCCTTCTCCCTTGAAGGAGAACAGGTGCCCCCCCCCCCCCCCCCCCCCCCAAAAAAAAAATCACACTTAACGCAAGTCACAATTTATTATTCTACTAGATATTTTGGTTCATAAAATTTGACATGTGCTCACAAAGGTTCAACACAATTTCATCAATGAAAATGGGCGACAACTGAGTTTGTAAAGTGAATTTCAGAAAGATTATAAATTCAGAACAATTTGAGTTCAGAAACGTATGAATTTACTAAGACGTACATTCGAAAGATCGGAATGATGTGTTTTTTTTAGAAGGATGTGAATTCAGAACTGTAATTTTTAAAAAATACACCACATCATTTTACCTAAGGCCAAACATACATTATGGTTAAACATCATCATCATCATCATTCCTTTGTGGCCCCTGGGGAGCAAAGGGCTGCAACTACACATCTCCAGCGGACTCGGTTTTGGGCTGCTCCCTTTAGTAGTAGGCATCACGGGCTCTTCTAGAGAGGAACCTCCTCGACCAAGTTGGTGGTGGGTCTGTGTACTTGCAGTTTCTGTAGCGGTATATTTTTTTACGAGATAAGGTTGATAGCTTTATGTTTCAACCCCCAACCTGGAGGACCAGGGTGTTAGCTTTGGTCTGATCCCTACCCGCGCAGACCTTCCCAGCTTGGTTGAACCTACTAGGAGTTTACACTCTGGGGGTGGTCAGGATACACAAGCTGCCAAGCCACGACAAGGCTCTAACACTGGATGGCAGATAGTTAAACATGCGTTAAGATGATTTAAAATGTTCTTTGGGTGAGGACAAAAAACGATAGTGTAGTTAGTCAATCACATGAATCAAATTGCGTTAGTCATTTTTACTTTCTCGTATATACGAAGTATAGAGAAAGTCTTGTAATCGTGCAAAAAAAAAAATCGAGATTTTTACAAATCTCGACGTTTTACACCTCACTGATACGGAAAAACATAATTTTGCAATCTTGTCCGTATGTCTGTGTGTCTGTCTGTGTGTCTGTGTGTCTGTGTGTCTGTCTGTCCGTGTGTAAACACGATAACTTGAGTACCGTTACAGCTACGTTGATGAAATTTCATATATAAGTATTTTATCGAAATCGTAGATCCGTATCAACTTTTGAGCGATTTCCGATAACCGGAAGTGGTACTTTTCCTACTTTGAATTTTTCAAAAGCCTATAACTTGAGTACTATTTCAGATAGATAAATGAAATTTCACATGTAAGTAAAAGATCTAATTCTCTACCTTCTGTCAAATTTTGAGTAATTTCCGTTGACTGGAAGTAGTAATTTACGCTACTTCCGATTTCTCAAAAAACTAATGTAAATTTTAAAAGTACTAATAATATTGCGCACCATTATGCGCTTTTTTATTTGGCGTTCACTTGGTGTGCAATTAATTTGTCTACGAGATTTTATTCTATTTTTAAAACTTAAAGTATTTAAAATGGATTAAAAATCATGTCTATAGCCCGAGTTCCCATCCCCTGTTATTTTATATAAGAATATTCGAGAAAGTTTAGGGGAGATCACTCCCGGTTTATTTGCTTTAGGCTCGTCACACACAATGTGACTGTTAAACACACACACACACACACATATCTATACACACGTCCTTACACTGCTCAACATTCGTCTCAGCATATACCCACACCGAGGGCACAAATATTCCCACACAGAGGGCCCAAACATACCCACACACATCCCCACATACATCAATGCACTTATATTCAATCTTACCCCCACGTATTACAACATGAATCCACATACAGATTCATACACTTACTTAACTCACATCACGTGACAAAGTGTGATAATGGAGAGGTTAGAGGGATGGTTTGTTAATAAATTATTCAGCATTAAAAATGTGAAGCGTCGTACAGGGAAATAATGACCTGAATTTTGTAGTATGATATTTCTGTTGTGGAATACGAGTGTATTAAAAAATCTGCCCAAAATAAAAAGGAAGTAGAAAGTTTTAAAATGTCACCGTAATACCAGCCATTCTTCAAACTCCCACAGCCTACAATGTAAACAAAAATGTGCATTTTAATTTATTTTTTTTTAATATCATGAGTCCTGGTAGTTTAATGACAGTATACTGGGCGGTATGGTGACAGTATTCTTGCGGTATGCTGACAGTATACTGGCAGTATGCTGACAGTATACAGGCGGTATGCTGACAGTATACTGGCGGTATGCTGACAGTATACTTGCGGTATGCTGACAGTATACTGGCAGTATGCTGACAGTATACTGGCGGTATGCTGACAGTATACTGGCAGTATGCTGACAGTATACTGGCGGTATGCTGACAGTATACTGGCGGTATGCTGACAGTATACTGGCGGTATGCTGACAGTATACTGGCGGTATGCTGACAGTATAATGGCGGTATGCTGACAGTTTACATTTTCTTTAAATACTATCTGAAACAAAATAAAAACCAACCTAATAGAGGTGAAATACCCCTAACTGCCGGAAGTAAATTGACCGAAGTTAGCGTGTAACCTAATTCCTTTTCTTTCTTCTCTCCAGTGTTTCTTTAAGACATTTTTCTCCGCAGGGAGAACTCTTGAAACTTTCGGAGGAAAACTTTCGGGTGCCCTTCAACCGGGGTGGGGGTGGGGGGTGGGGGTGCGGAGAGGGAGAGAGATTCTTAAATGACATTGTTTCGACAATGAGGCAGACGTAATTTACTAGGGTATATATACATATACATACATACATATGTGTGTATACATGTGTGTGTGTGCGAGAGAGAGAGTGTGTGTGTGTATGTGTGTGTGTATGTGTGTGTGTCTGTGTGCCTTTTGTTGAGAAAAAAAACATGACAAAAATCCTGCCGACGCCACTGCTGGCTGCCCTTATTGTGTTTTAAAGAAGGAAATGGTTTCGGTTTTTCCCAATTTCTTTTTAATCCTAGAACAGCAAGCCTTTAAAGAAAAGGCGTGCCACGACGTGTAGCATAAATGCGCACTGGCGATATCTGCATTTTTAAAGCATAATTAAATGTGCTAATCCACTTTTACGTTGCACTACTTTCGTCTATTTAGTGAGCCTGGATAACTACTGTTAAGAAATAAATTTTCTATCAATTAATCACATAAACCTTGATGTTGATAGGTTCATTTGGCCATGGAAAGTGACGAAACGTGTGTTCAACTAGTAAGATTATATTTTTTTCTATTAGTAAGGGTTTAGTTTAAGTTTTAACTAGTGCGTATACTTAATCATTAAGGCCTGGGTCGACTGCTGATTCAACATTAGGCATTTAGCAAAGTGGAACTAAACTAATAACAGTTATATATATATATATATATATATATATATATATATATATATATATATATATATATATATATATATATATATATATATATATATATATTGAGCTCAATAAATTTTCAAGCTGTGTTAGCTATGTTATCCCAATTTTTGTTGATAATATTTTGTTTGTATTTCTTATTTGAATAACTCTAGCCTAAAAAACGTTCCCATAGTTATTAATAACTAGTAAAAGTACAAAGGGAAAACATGATTTAAATTTGATTCTTTGAAAATATATATGAATGCTTACAAAATTTTACGCCGCTTTTACAATCATACTAACAATTTTAATTTTATTTGTTTTTACATTGACAATTTAAAAAAAATAAACAACTATTTTAATTTCTATTATGTTTTGTAGCAAAGTTTAGACTCTGAGACTTCACCATCACCGGCCAATACTAAGACAGACAATGTAAACTCAGGAGAAGGTCCTCCAAAAAAATATTACTTTGGTATTTTTTTTTTTAAAGTATTAAATTTAAAGAGTATCAGTTTTGTGTGGGTTTTTTTTTATAAACAATAATCTAATCCCCATACAATACGCAGTGACCGTAACACTTGAATTGTATCCCCATATGGAGTAAGGGGTCATCCATTTATGACGTCCACACGGGGGGGGGGGGGGGGTCCGAATAAAATTGACTTTGCGGACGCGTATGGACTATGGACTTTTATAAGGGAAATAAGTGGATTTTTGTTGACGGGGGGGGGGGGGGTCCAAAATGCAAAAAATGTGTGGACGTCATAAATGGATGACCCCTAAGATATTACTGTTCGCAAAAAAAGATTAAATAGTTTTATAAATCAAAATACGAATTTCCTATGTTGACATATTTTCCCATATAGGACTTCCTGCGCCTTATAATTCTATATTTAGAAGGGTCAAGGCTGCTAAACAAGAATCATCCAATGTGTTTATTTTCTCAGTACGGTTCATAGTTATCATCTTTACTGCAAGTAGGATTTTTAAAATATTTCTCCCGTATGTTAAATGTATATTGAATAATTCATTTGCAAACTAAATCCACGTAAAAGACAGTAAAATTTAGTTCAATGTTTTTTAAATAGAAATAATAACTTTTTTTTTTACAGTTGCTTACACAATTCTCCAAGGAATTTTTATCGCGATCCCTATTTCCATGGTTGTTATTGGTAATAGTTTGACTAAAAACATTTGAAACAACTTGAGTTTAAATTTAGTTGATTAAATTCAAGTAGATCTAATTTGCTTCTAAAGTACCTTGAAATGTATAGACTAAGAAAGTTTTTTTTTTTTACATGTACTCCTTCTTATATCAATGAATAATTACTTTCTTAACAT